TCATTTTTCTGTACTTCATTGAATAAATAATAATATTATCTAAATTTGTATTGCTATTTTATTAGATAAATGTTTTAGATAAACCAATTAACGGCGAAGAATTCGACTTTATCATAGTTGGTGCAGGATCAGCGGGATCTGCGATTGCAAATAGACTTTCTGAAATAGCACAATGGAAAATTTTATTGTTAGAAGCGGGTTATCCGCCTGTGGAAGTTCACGATATGCCCATCCTTGCTCCGGTTTTCCAGTTTACACCATACAACTGGAAGAATCTCATGGAGAAACAAGACTACATGAGTTTAGGTAACATATTGGTACATTTCATTGAGAAAATAATGCTAAATAAGCTTACTTGACCTTTTTAGGCCTCGAAGATCAAAGGATGAGTTGGCCTAGAGGAAAAGGTATTGGTGGAAGTTCTTTGATCAATTACATGATACATGTCCGAGGTAATCGATTAGACTATGACAAATGGGCAGCCATGGGTAACCCGGGATGGTCATACGATGATTTGCTTCCGTATTTTATGAAGTTAGAAGAAACCCGTACACGGCACCAAGATTCACAATATCGAGGTCACGAAGGATACGTTAAAGTAGAAGATGTTCCAATTCGAACCCGATCCGCAGAAACGTTCATAGAGGCTCTTCAGCAAATGGGATACAGTTACGTAGATTACAATGGTTACCAGCAAATAGGTGTATCATATGTTCAAGCAACTCTGCAAGACAGTAGAAGATGCAGTGCTGAAAAGGCGTATCTTAGAAAGGCACAAGAAAGGGGGAATTTGAAGATCATTAAAAAAGCTCTTGTAACAAAAGTCATTATAAATCCAATTACATTAGAAGCTGAAGGAGTTGAATATGAACGAGACGGAATGTATTATACTGCTAAGGCCAGAAAGGAAGTAATCCTTTCTGCTGGAGCATTTCACTCACCACAACTGCTCATGCTCTCCGGAATCGGTCCAAGGTACCATCTGAGCGAACTCGACATCCCCGTCCTTAAAGATCTTCCTGTGGGTCAAAAAATGTACGACCATCTGTCCTTCCCAGAATTGGTAATCACTTTGAACGAGTCAATAGTATTTAAGGCCAGTTCTTTTGGCATCAACGAGTTCAAACAGTACTTCTCAAATCAGCCAAGTCTAATAAGCACTCTTGGAGGTGTGGAAGCTTTGGCGTATCTAAATCTAAACCTTACCAACCGTAATCCTACTTATCCAGACGTAGAACTAATTTTTATGGGAGGCGGATTACACTCAGACTTCGGATTAATTACAAGAAAAACGTTTAGAATTACAGACAGAATGTATAACAGAATTTGGAAGCCCATTGAGAACGAAAATGCCTGCCAAATATTACCCATGTTGGTACATCCTAAATCTTATGGTTATATTAAGCTGAAATCCAAGGATCCTCATGTTCAGCCCAAACTTTATGGAAATTATTTAACAGATGCGTACAATGAAGATGTGAGAACATTTATAGCGTCGATCAGGGCCATACAAGAAATTATCCAAACTCCGGCATTTCAACGATATAACGCCCAATTGTTGGATACGCCTGTTCCAGGATGTGAACTGTTTCGTTTTGATTCTGATCCCTATTGGGAATGTGCACTGCGTCACTTAGCAGTAACACTACATCATCAAGTAGCAACATGTAAAATGGGTCCAAAATATGATCCCGAAGCGATAGTGGACAGTTCGCTTAGAGTTTATGGGATTAAGAGACTTAGAGTTGCCGATGCAAGTGTCATCCCCCTACCCGTAACGGCTCACACCAACGTACCGGCTTATATGATTGGAGAAAAAGCGTCAGATATAATAAAACAAGATTATATGTATAGTCCATATCCAAATTATTGATAAAGGGAAAAATCAATGTCGAGGAAAATACAAATACATTTCTGCGCTATGATAGGAGATTTTGTTTAGATGTAGGCTACTTAATGGTTCTAGTGTGTGTTAGCATTAAGGAAAAGTCAATAGTACAAATAAAGTGAAATTACATTTAGTGTACTGATATATCGGTTGTTGATAATACATAAAATTAACATTATAAGTATGCAGAATTTTTAAATAAATAAAAATAAAATATAATTTTCACGTAAATAGGCATGGTTATGTATAGAAATATAAATTAAATTTAAAAAAAGTAAATCTAACACGCGTTAAACGCTCATGGGATTACTGCAAAAGTCATTGTCATGTGACAACTATTTTTATCATACATCTTGAAATTTCACAAGGTCAGATTAATTCATATAAAGCTGATCTATATGAAACAGACTTTCTGAAACGCTGCAGTTGTTGAGAAGGTTGTTATCATGGTTCCTGTTTCGGTTTGTATCAACTTACAAGGGTCTTAAACATGAAATTATTAAGATTGGAAAAACTTTGGCGGTTGTTGTAGAACAAACAGAATAGCTCAAAACCCCAACGCCGAAACACGACACTGTAGTTGTCCGAAGCACTTTTCGGTAACAAGGTTACCTTCTTCAGGGTCTGCAGTGAACTGTCCCTTCTTCAGTTCACTTCAGTCCCTTCTTCAGTTCACTTCAGTCCCTTCTTCAGTTCACTTCAGTCCCTGAAGAAGGTAACCTTGTTACCGAAAAGTGCTTCGGACAACTACAGTGTCGTGTTTTGGCGTTGGGATTTTGAGCTATTTTGTTTGTTCCTTATTTTAGGACTTACTGCAAATAATTACAAGTTGAATGTAGAAGCCTGTTGGGAATTACTTCGCAATCGTAGTTGGTCTGATTTTCGTTTAGTGATAAGCCAAAGTGATGCGTTATATTGTAGAGACCCATNCCTTGGTCCAAGTTTTTCTGTGGTTTCCTTGGATCACTTAGGCAAATGCTGAGGCAGTAATATTCCACAGATAATCTTTCATTCTCTTCTGTCTTCATTTCGTCCGTCTCATCTTTCTCACCCGAACCACCATCCACCCATTCCCACGATTCCTGAAAGCAGGCTGAAGAGGGCCTTCCACCCTACCTTCCTATGTAGTCCAAAGGGACTGCCCGCCCACCAGCATTGCTGGCTGGGGGGAATGAAACACCCAAAAGTTTTTTTTTCAAGGTCTCAGTGTATTTCTTTCTAGATCGTGACCAGCACGTCTAATGTGAATCCATCTTAAGCAGATCACATCGATTAATCATTGATCGAACGATTCAAAAATTCAACTTAACCGTTCGCCAATATGTGAATGATGAGACAAAGGAATTTTTTTTATATCTACAATAAATTCTGCATAACAGTTGCACTCATCAATGATAAAATCACCGACGATCACCTTCGTTGGTTTGGTCATGTCAAAAGAGCAAGTGAAGATTATGTGGTACAAATTGAGGGTAAATTTATCGGAACGGAAGAGAAGTAAAAAAAGAAGTCTCATGAAAACCCAGTTATCTTAAGTGACAACCCCAGAACGCATAACTTGGCGCAGGAAAGGTGCGGATACTAGACTCCAAATTACAGGCTCAGAAGAAGAGGAAGTCTGATAGAATCCGAATATTGTGTGATGCATACAGTTATGGATGAATTCTTCATCACGATAATGCGCCTACGCATTTAGCAGCAATGATTGTCCGTGAGTTTCTGGTCTGTATTTCATCATCAAGCTAAATCATTTTTTCTCTTCATGAGATTTAACCCGCTGCGATTTCTTTTTGTTCCCTTGTTGTAAAATAGCCATGCGGAGGCGTTTCTGTGTGAATATGGAAGCAACAAAAAGTGAAACTGAACAGCCTGACTTCTGGGGACTTCCGGGAATATTAAATGAACAATAAAAATGGAGATAGGATAAGTACATTACCACACATGAAGAGCACCTTGAAAGGGATAAAATTTATATACCTAAATTACAATTCTTATGAACTTACTTCGCGTGTTGATTAGATAGACTTCGAACAATATAATACAATGGAAACTTTTAAAAGGAAACAATAACATTAAAATCTACCTATTGTGTTGCTTTATCTGAAACCATGTGGCTGTGTTCTTCGATAAAATGCAGATCAAAAACTTTTTGAAAACTATTTAAATGGTCTCAATGAAAATGAAATTAAAGTATTTCTTTTGAATCAGAAATCCAAAAACAACTAAATAAGTTAAATTCAGATTTAAATAACAACGAATTGTTTAAAAATTCACAAAATATCTTAAATTTTCTCCACAGGTGTAACACTACATTCGGAAATATTTCGATTTCAGGCCAACAAAGTTCTAAAATCCTCTATTAGTAATTTTCACCAATAAAATATGAATGATTACAGTACTTGCGCTAGAGTTCTATGAAATTAAGACCTAAACATTACCTAACCAAAAGAAGCTCTTATTATAAACATAGACCTTGGCAACTACGTGAAGACCATGAGGCTAAAAAGCTACAAAAACGAATATGACAATTGCATATTTTATTTTAATTTTATTAACGTAATGTTTCACAGAATAATGTTAAAAATTAACATTGTCAGACACTTCTCACCGACGGTAATTTCTGCCAGACGCTTCAAGGTTCGCAAAAAAAAAACAATCGCAATTTTATTTATAGTCTGAGTCTTCGTTTTTAAATACGATACTTAGGGAACTACTTCAATAGTTTTTGTAAACAACCAGTCTAATTTTAGGGGTCAAACATCCCCAGACACAATTAAAATATCACTGTGATTATAAACGCAAACGCGATAATTAGATAACTTTCTAACACAGCGACATTTTAATTGCGTCTAGGGGATGTTTGGCCCCTACAATTGACTGAAATAGTTCCCCAAGTATCATATGTAAAAACGAAGGTTCAGACTATAAGTAAAATTACGATTTTTTTACGAACTTTGAAGCGTCTGGCAGAAATTACCGCCGGTTGCAGTGTTGATTATTAATTTTTAACAATATTCTGTGAAACATTGACTCTGGGGTCTTGGACTAAAAATATTATACGTTAGGTTAGTGGCAGACGAGTTACAAAATCTTTTTCGTCAATAACATTAAAAACACGAAGGAAATACAGTGTAAACTCTTGATTTAACGGCAAACTTCTTAAAACGTCGAAATTACTTGACTTTGGTTGGTTTACATTGTTTTCTATACAATATTACACTCTATATAGCGTCACGCTCACTCTATTTAACGACAACAATGCGGCATTATAAATCATTGAGCAGTACTTTCTAAGTTGCCGAAATAGATAAGAACTGCAGCTGTGTACGTTGTTGAAGAAGACGATCCTGTCCCTCCACCAAGCATCAAACAAGCACTTGATGCAGCGAAACTATTAAAAAAATACTTTTTATATAATCAAATTGATCCAGCAGTATCTCAAGATATGAGTAAGATACGTAACAAAATACAATTAAAATATTGGAGCAGCAAAAAACATCAGACGAAGATAACAGGCTATACGCAATGTATGAATAATAATGTTCGTGTGCAAAATGTGTACTATATTGGTAAATGCATATTATTATAGAATAGTAAAATAATATCTTTTATTTCTCTCCATTTAACGACCACTCTTTATAACGCCGAAAAATGTTCAGTCGCTTGTTGTCGTTATATAGAGTTTACACTGTACTTCTTTAAATATAAAAATTCAGCTCCACCACCCCTTTATACAATTCCGAGCTTTGAGTTTTTGTAGTAAACACTTGTCATCAATACGGAATCCTAATGAACTTTGTACCGCTAGTCAGACAAACACATTAATTATAGTTATTCTATTTCTTTTTCCGTTATGTCTTTCTCTGAGAATTGATGTCCTTGTCTGAAAGAGATTGTTATGTAGGAAAGGCGTGCCATAGGCAGGGTCGGGGGTTCATAAGCTTTCGCACTATAACTTCCAAGTACGAAACTTTCATATCTATTTATTATTTACCTATTTATTTATGCAAGACTAGTGACGAAGAGTCGCCATTCTACGAACTCCGGTTGTGGTGAAAAGAAGTGATCCTTTTGAAAAGTAGATATAAAATAACATATTTTTATGATAATTAAATATTTAGGTAAGTTAAAGGCAATTTTTATATATATATATTTACATGTTTGCTAGTCCTAATTTTAAGTGCTTCTCGTTAATGTTAAGATTTAAGACAAGTAGCAGCTTTTTCTAGATATGATTAACAAAAGCATTTGGTGATAATTACGCCTTTTAAAACACTGCATTTTGCTCTTCGTGTCGTCATTATATTTCAAAAACAAAAAAAAAACATAATTAGTAGTACCTAATAATATGAAATATTACACTTACATACTATATTCTCAGACAATTTTGGAAATACACTTTTTCAAAAAATACCAGTATGTCATAAACGGCCCCCTTTAGGCACCCTGCAGTTTATCAAAGGCAACTTAAATTAATAATTAATAATTTATTAACAACTCAAATTAACAGCGTTATATGAAGTTTCTGTGCTTCTTACTTTTTTTATGTATTTTTACCCTTACACTGTAAGGGGACACTATATACAGTAGCAGTGCCGGTTTTACCATTACCAGCGCCCTGGGCGAGATTTCTACGGCGCCCTCCAACTACAATTCAAACCCATAGGAAAAAAGGGAAAGCATATAATGAAATAACCATTTATTAAAACAAATAATTATTTATTATAAAAAATAACCATTTATTAGAAACAAACTAATAAAATTTTACTTTTCTGGCCTTTCTATCAGCAAACTCATCTTTTATAAGGTTATCAAAGTCTATGTTTTCAGCAATTTCGTTTTCAATTGACAAAGTTGCTAAGTTTGTCAATCTAGATTGAGATATTGTTGATCGAAGATAGGTTTTTATCAGCTTCAGCTTTGAAAAACTCCGCTCCCCGCTAGCAACCGTTACAGGTATAGTCAGTAATATTCGCAATGCTATCCATACATTTGGATACAGTTCTTGTAAGTAGCGATCTTTGATGAAATTTAAAACAAAAATAGGTGTAACCACATTTTGATCGGGCAAAAAGGAGATAGACAATGTGTTTTTCTTTGATTGGGGATTCCCTGTAAAATAAACTCCGATCGAACGGATTACGTTCCGTTCAAGTGTTGCCAACATAAAAAAAATCCACTTAATTTAGGGCTTCCGTCCGCTTAATTTTGAGAATGAGGTGGAGGGCGCCTGCGGCGCCCCTTTTGTCCGGCGCCCTGGGCGATCGCCCAACCGCGCCCTACCCTAACACCGCTACTGNGTAAACTCGATTTTTTAGGTAATATACCTTTATTGGTCTCAAATTAAAGGTTTTTTTATTTCGAACTATCAAAAAAAATTAAAAACCTTTAATTAGATAGTATGTATAACGCTAAATGAATAATTCGAATAAAGTAATTCATATGTTGAAGATCGCATATTATTGTTTTATTCGCTTTTATTTAAACACAGACAAACTAAAGTGCGCTCGACATACATTACCAAAGAATTAAATTATAAGAAGCTATTAAGACTACAATTAGGTAACTAGTTGTAGATAATGACATCTAACTTTCTATTTGAACTTTTATTGACACAATTGAACATTTTTAAAATCATTGCAAATATTCATAGACTTATTATGATGATAAGTGTTTTAAAATAAGTGGTAAAGTGGAATTTCAAAAGGCAATTAGGTACCAAATGTAATATTAATACGAATAATTATTCATGAATCAAACCATATTATCTCAAGTAAAAGAAAACAAGCAATAGAAAATAAATCAACTAAAATTCCCGAAAATAATATTCTAAAATGCACAAACAGATTTACGTAGAAAATTTTTATATAATTATATTAATCTATTTTTATTTACATTCTCGTTAACATAAATAATTTCCTAATAGTTGATTCATTTAGTGTAAACCACTTAAGAATGACGTATACTCATTATATCGGAATTATTAACAATAAACTGATAAAAACCACATTTACTTTTAATTATTTAAGAGAAAAGTAGCTCTCGGGAAATTTCGATCACGTTAATAATTACAGGGATTTCCTAGCAAGCATATTTTGTTAAATAAAAACAATTGGTCAAGTTGTTGGCACACATTACTTTTCATTGCTTTCAATTATGTTTAATTGGTAGATGAGTGAAAAGAATTCTTATAAGTCAACAATTTTAAAAAGTACTTTTTATTAAGAAGCAGCATGTTTCAATCACAAACAGTAGACAAAAAAGCGAAACTACTAGGTCAAGTCTATTAAGACAGCAGTCATTTTCGACGTATTACCTTTTTATCACTAAATTACAGTCTTGCCTCAAAGGAATTATCATTGCACATCAAAATTTTGAAACATAATTAACCTCAAAATGTAAATGATGCGAAATTTGGCTTGTACATTTGTTCAATTTCTTCCCCTTTAGTAAAGAAAGTAATCAGAGTTGGCTGGGGACGTAAAAAGGTTTATTAAAATAAAACCTAGACCGATGTTTCGCCTTTGTTACATTTTGTAGGTGGGTTTTTTGGGAACTTGCGTATCACATTCCTCGACGGTTTTGTCGACATTTCTCATTTGGCTTGTCGAGTTTTAAGATTACAATATCCCGAAATAATTTCAGTGTGTTGAAGTTTTTCTGGGGACAGGTTCGAGTTCACCGTGAATGAATAATGATGCCCTTATGATTTCTTTCTCTTCTTAATCCCTGATTTAGTACGATTAAGTAGATTATCAATGAAAATAAACATACATAATCAACATCAAATAATCAAAAGGTCGTCAGTCTTAAGACTGGTTGGGCACGCACCTCCACTTTTTCATATCCTGGGCTAATCTTCGCATTTCCCTAAAACTAGAACATCCCACAACCTTAACTATTCGTGAAGAGTAATCTAATCTAGGCCTAAAGCTCTTAGCTCCTGTTTCCCTTTATATTCTACTAGTATTAGGTGCTATCTAATTTTATTTGATCAAATTTTCTTTTTAAACTAAATGAAACATTTAATTCTACCCTGATTTAGCCTCACTATTCTTTCCTTGAACTCAAGTTTCATTTCTTTTTTTTTTCTGCATTTTGACAAAACCTGATTTTAATACTCAATGAAATAAGAATGAATAAATTCAATCGCTGTTCTTACTTTATTATTAATCGTAAGGCCATCGCAAGTTAATTGATTATTGCAAAAAACTACTAACAAAGAATACCATTCATTATCTAGATAATAGGTATACATAGGCATAGTGCATAGATACGTGTCAACAATGTTCATACAATCGGAATAAAGTATGTTTCAAGGATAGTTTCGCAATATGTAACAGCGCCTTATTCAATTTATTAATGTATAATAACGGATCAGTAGATTTACAACACGGAAAAGATTTTATATTAATTCCATTACGTTTGTCTATATACAGAATGCGTATATCTACATGCATACATTCAATTAAGTATTAATCACATAGCTGTTGTGAGTAGATAATACCTGAGAAAATAACAGGGTGTGTTACTGCTTTCTAACAGATAGAAAATCATGCACATAATGGTTGTGTGAAATAAAACACAAATAGATGATGTGCTTCATCATCATCGTCTAAACGATGTCAGTCCTAAGACTGGTTGGACACGCACCTTCACTCCTTTCTATCCTGACCTAATCTTCGCGTTTTCTTAAAACTAGAACCCTTCCTAACTCTCGTCTCTATGTCTCTGACTAGCCCTTCTTGTCTAAGGAGGTGTTCTAGCAACTGATCTTGCTTATTTGCTATTGATTTCCATAACACTCTCTGTTCTCCTACTCTTTCTAATACCTCCCCATTTCTAACCCTTTTTTATCTACCGTATTTTTAACACCCTCCTCTAACACCACGTCCTAAACCAGGGGTGGTCAACCTGCGGCCCTCCTTGAACACTTTTACGTTCTGCGAGATTCATCAAAGTTTAACAAATTACATTTATTTAATTCGGTATCTACGAAGTCAGATAATTCAAGATGGAAAGAGTAGTAAAGATAAAAGATAGGAAAGGGCAGGGTCGAGTTGCTGTCAATAAAAAGAAGTCACTTCTATGCTAGCGAACGGTTAATCTAGAAATTCAAAAAAGATCATTTACGTTTCAAACGCATATTATTAAGAGGTGCCTGAATCATGTAGCTTTAGTAATCGTTTTTCAATTTTCATATTAACCGATCTAAAGCAAGTGATTTCCTTTCGTTAAAACCGACCTGACCCTGCGCTAATCATTGCTTTATATCAGTAGCGCATTTTCCAGTTCATATTTTTAAGAGCAAGTAATAAGCATTGCAGTGAATTTTGAAGCTACTATTGGCACCGCTTTATCATCTGCATCTACTAGAGAAGGAATATAAATGTATGTAACGGACGTGTGAAAATTAAACTAATTTTTAAGTCATGCATGTGATGTACCAAATGTTAGTGAACTGTCTTTAACAATTTCATTCTCGAAAGTTGCCCAATCTGTATTGCAGACTATATATTTTCTAGCTCTTTATTCGCGGGGTATACGTTCCATAAATATGCCGCGAATATAGAAACCGTTGATATGGAATGGTAATTAGTATCGAATTATAGGGGATACGTTCTAAGGTTCCAAAATAAAACCGATATGTATCAAAATAAAATCAATGTATTGATAAATTCGCAATCAAAACTAATCGTTATAATTAGCTGTAGGAAAGAGTTTAAAAAATTAAGTGATCTTTTCTTGTTTTGAATTTTGAAATTAGTCTACTCGGTTACATTTTTATAAAAGTCCCCTCGGCACAAGCCGATACGATGAACAATAACACCGAATCCTTTTCTGTTTACTCGGTTATATCTTTTATAAAAGCTGCCTCGCCATGTACGAACACTACACGCGCCGTAGAGTAAAAACACGCTTATCGGTTCTAGATATCATGAGTTTAATGTTTGGAACAGAGATTTGAAATTTTGCAGTAAGATAGATAAAGCATTGTTCTGAAGCCTGTCGAAGACCATTTTTCAATTTTTTTAATTTCTATTAAAAATACATGTCCTACGAGAAGCATCAACTTTAAGCACTTGTAAAAAGCTTTTAATGACCATATTATTGANAGTTC